CTCCTATAAACAAGTGGCAAGGGTTTCTGAATTGATACTAAGAAATTGCATTGAGGGTAGTTTTAACCTAACAATTTACTGTGAATTCTAGTGGCTTGCTTATTTGAGTAATCTTCCTTTTTTCATTTTTTTCCTTTTGCATTCTCCACATAGGTTTAGCCTCCTCCAGCAAATCTTCAGGGAAAGCTGAATACCTACTTTGCATAGAGTGAAAAAAGACTTGCATTCTAGTACTTTATCTAAATTTTCTTATAATCCGATTTAGTGTAAAATGCAAGTCTAAAACCCTTAGATCTTTTTGTAATTCTTGCACAGCCATTCACAATGGATTTGTACAGTGCAAAGTGAGAGATTTGGGTTCAGAATGATGATAAATTTTCAAAGAAAATGGATGAGTTGTTGTTCTTTGTAGTTTAACAGATTTCATTATTATTACCGTAACTCCAACTAACAATACGTGACAGAGACAGTCTCCAGATAAAGATGTACAATGTAAAGGTTCCACGTTTGCTGCATATGCAGAATCAATATGGTTATATTCCTCTATTCCTTTTGCAAACCATGTAATTACATGAAAAATAAAGAAAAACGAGAAAAAGGCTAGCATAGTTTGAATAGGAGACAGCATCAATGGAAAAGAAAGAAAATAAAATGGCATCGAGTAAGAAGAATAGGATGTGAAAATTGCTTTGTAAAGTCAGATACGAAAAAGAATGGTTCTCCTCATCTCAGCCATCCCAGTTGGTTTCATCAATGTTTTTATGTTGGTAGACAAGTAGCAAAACAAAAGCTATTCAGTGCATAACAAGATGATCAGAAAACCAGGACAAAGTGGAGTTTATCTTCAACTTATGTCTTCTTGTGGGTATAAAGGGGCTTAATGATTCTGAGACCTGGCATTGCGAACAGTTTTATCTGGCTTAGCTGGACTGAAAGTCTAATATTAGCAATGGAAAAACAGGTGTGTGTTGAATATCTTTGATCTATTAAACATTCATAAAATAAGTATGTATGTAGTTTTGTTGTAGCTCTGATGGTCTTAAGACTCTAGTAGCAACACATGCATATTAGTGTAAATATATAGGCATGCAAATTAATAGGTGAGAAGTTACAGAGGTGTATCTATCTGTAACACAGCAGTATTTCTCTGCTTCTCTTTCTTTCCTCATTCCATGTTATAGCTAAACTGATCTTTTTTTTCATAAGAAAATATCCTCAGATTTATTTAATAAAAAACGTTTTGACTTTTATTTCATTTGACAAGGTGCTTCCCCTTTGGCTTAAATCTCTTTTATGTGTGTATTTAACAAGTGATTTAAGTTATGCGCGTAAGAATGCTCTCCTGATGCCTTGTCCTGCTTTGTTAGCTTAGAAAAATGTCCAAATTTGAGAACAATTCACAGCTCTTAAACGTGGAGATAACATAAGGTGTACTGCATGGTTCTGCTTTGCTAGCTGTGTGTCGTGGAAAACTATTTGGCTATTGCTGTATATTCATTTTTGTTCTCAGGCTCAATAATTGATACCCTATCTAGAGAAGGGTTTGCAGAGAAAGAAGATAAACAATAGAAAAATCAAATTTATTTTATAATCCCACATGAGAAACTCATTCTACTGTCCTACCAGTTAAAATTATGGATATATAAAAATATGCTCCCACGCTGTGTAAACATTTGTTGAATTGCTTTCTCAGAGAGAAAGGGAATGGTTTGGTTAGCAAGGAAAGAGGACATACCAAAAGCACCAGGGACTCCTCTGGCTTTCTGAAGTCCATGGGAGTCTAGTGTGTGTTGCTTATCCAAGTATGTGATTTTCTTTGTGGGGCTCTGGGTCCTTTCCAAGCCAGAGAAACTTTTTGTTGTTGTTGCTGGCTATCATTGCCGTACACTGCAGTACATTTATCCAGTGTGCTTGCAGCTTCTCTCGCAGATGTATTGCTGCTTCCTTTAGTTACAGCTTGGCACAAAGGTTCCCTTCATGAGTCTCTGAACACCCTCTGTCTCTTATATTACCCCATGTATCTTGTATGTCTGCTATTGCTCTTTCCATCCATCACCCATCCCAAATGTACCTTCTAGAAGAACTTCAGTACTGTGGCAGGATCATAAGAGGGGCACTAAAAGCTTCTGGGGAAGTTGGTGCCCACGCTACCTTATTTCACCTGGGGAAAGGGGACACATACAACCTGTGAGAAGTTGTCTCAGAAGTTGGTGCCCATAGATTATTTAATGCCAAGTAAGCATAGTGCCTGCTTTTTCATTACTTTTATGCTTACAGTCTGATATTGAGAGCATTCATTTGCTGTGGTGAGATTGCTGCCTAAGGCAGCCCCCGAAGAGCTGCAAGAGCAGTAGCCCGTTGCACTCATACTGTTTCTGTTGCATGTCTTAATGAAGCTCTAAAATGCTTGAAATTGTCTTTGAAATGAAATAATCTGTAGCTGTTAGCTAACTGCATACTTTGTAATAATTGCTTAGCCAAATAAAGGAAAATTGGGAGGAACAAAGAAAGATTAGATTGATGGCTAAAAGAAAATGATTAAATAAAAAAATTCATAAAGAAGAGAAATTAAAAAATAGCATCACAGACTTTTGCACAGTGAGGGATCTTCCAAAGGTACTAAAAAATTCATAAAGAAGATAAATTAAAAGATAGCATCACAGACTTGCACAGTGAGGGATCTTCCAAAGGTAATTTTCTTCTTTTTCAACTCCTAGCATGCATTTTATTCTCCATCTTTGCTGGAAATACTAGAAAGACCTATTCTATGAGAAAAACGGGGATGGTGGTCACAGGAGAGATCAGATGTGTTTGTTGACTTCAAGAACAGCAGTTTCCAAATAAAAGTTTGTCAAACCTCTGCTAGCTTCATTGTATCTTCCAAAGGTTGCGCAACAGCCTTTGGGTAGATGACCTTTTAGACAGGCCGTTCATAATGTTTTTCATTTACTAAGACAATATATTCTTTATATACAGAGATAATACTTTCCAGTTTTAAAAAAACAATGTTGATGAAATATAACAAATTTAATGACTTTATTTCTGAGCACGGGGTTTTAGCTGTACATCTTCATATCAGGAATCTTTTTGGAGACCAGCTGTGCTGAGTACATAGATCTAGCTAAGTTTATTTTTACTGTGATGATGTATATTTCTAGGATAACAAAAGTATTTTGGATCCTTTGCTGATAGGATGGAATATCATTAGCTATCCATCCATGTGATAGGACATCTGTCTTTGAATGAAATATGGAAGAAGTCTTCTCATCATTCTGTGCCATAGTTGTGGCATCAATAATTTGCTGGAATGGTCCAAGGCAGCTTTAACTGAAGGGTCATGGTGAAATTTGTGAAGCTACTGGCATGCTGTTGGTTTCAGGCACACACACCAGCACCCGCTTTAATTGGGAAGGCGACACACAAACAGTGAGATGACCAGAATATGGAAGGCAAGGCTCAGCTTTATCTTATTCATGTGGGATATGATTCAGTCTTTGCAGTTTTAAATCCCCCACTTAAGTCACAGTTGAGGAAGAAACCACTGAAGTATTTTTTGCTCTACAATATAACAGACATACTTCTATTAACCTTCAGGCTCTGTCCATAATCCTTTTCTCACCTGGTGAAACAGCTGGTGCAAGGCTGTCCTCTTGTTAAAGGATATACATACAGTATATTTGTTAGAATTCAAAGGAGTATACTGAATGGGAACTATTAAATATCTAAGAAAATCTCAGAGAAAATCTCATATTTTTGCAGAAGAAAATACATTCTCAGGTTAAAAAGACTGATACAAAATTCTTCTGTTCATTTACAAAAAGCTGAAGATTGTGCTGTTGGAATAGAAGTGCAATCCTCGATTGCATATCACATGTATGAGTAGTTTACTAAAATTTGTTGTTCAGTTTAGAATAACAAGATAACTTAGGTTGGAAGGAGCCCCTGAAGGCCACCTGGTGTAAGCCCTACTCTAGGAAAGATCCAGTCGCCCAGGGCTGGTCCAGGCAAACTCTAAAGATAACTCGTGTTGCAGTCTATCTGAACAACCTGTTCCAGTGGTTGGCCATCCACACAGCAGAAATTTTACACTTTTATCCAGGCAAATTTTCCTTTCCTTCGTTCTGTGATCATTGCTCCAATTCCTGCATGCCTCCAGGAAAAGTCTGGTGGAGTAAAAGTACTTAACTTTACTCTGCTGTTATGTAGCTGTAGTTATGTTTGGAGGACCAGAAGAATCCTATTCTTTTGGTCCTCCTTCATGTATCTATTGCATGCTCTAAAGGTTTGGAAGAATCCTAAAATTATATGAGATGGGAATGAGGAAGTTATATTGAAATCAAAATTGACAATACATTCTGCTTGAAAACTTGGCATACTCCAATTGCAGTGGGTAGAAATGTTAAATCAGGAAGGGTCTTCAGTCTGCTGTTATAGCAGTGCCAAAATACAGATGGAGGAATGGACAAAAGTAGAAAAAAATTGCTTTTGCAAATAAGTAAAGCTTAGTAAAAACTTCTCAGCATTTAAAGTGATGTCTACAAGACAGATCAGCTGAAAGATTTAACCCCTTGTTTATTCTCACGTCTCAAATAATCTCTCTAAAAATATTGCATTTGCATTTCCAGAACAATTTATCAAAGCTGGTGGCAAGATTGCTTTGCTGGGACTTTCTGGCAGAGCCAGGCAGGATCGTAGTGTTTATGATAAGGACTCTTACTTATTAATTACTGAGCTGTGGCTTGTTTTGCATACATTCCCACTTGTGCTTTCTTTGAACATAGGGGATATGTTTGTTTAATAAGGATCTCATTTCCTCTATGACAACATATTGTGAACTGCTACAAGCTTAGTTTTCAAATCAGTAATTTATTACTTGGACTTGAATTCTCAAATTTTTTTTTAGAGTTTCTATTCCTGCCATGCAGACTAACAAGAATAGATACTCTTGTTCTCACCTCATTAATATATTGTACCCTGGGATTTTTTGTCTTCCTCTACAGAAACTCTTCTGGATGATTTTCTTCTCACATACACAGTCTTCATGACGACCGATGACTTGTGCCAGGCACTTCTGAGGCAATATCCTTTATTAACTCCTGAATACACAGGCATCTTGCAATTACACTTAGATCCATGTATTTTTAAGCCCTATTATATGAAAAGTAGTAAATTGCATGCCTGGGAGGATTAGCTCTACTTTTTGCATATTGATGTTATTGAAATACAAACTGCCTGTGACAGTTTTGAGGTTGCCTGTGAAAATGAAAAAGGAGAGCTCTTATCTAATGGTCATTATGGTATGCCTAGGAGATGGGCCGACTCTATGGGTTTTTTTTTAGCATCAGCCCCCCAAAAATGTGTAAATGAATTGGAAAAAAAAACAGTAAAGTGCAATGAGAATGATCAGCATTCTAGACAATATGATGTACAAACATGAATTGGAAGAACTAGGATTCTGAGTTCTAAGGGGGGAATCCGTAGATGTCTTCGGATCTTCAGGTGCCTGGAAAAGAAGGAAAGAATCTGTTCCCATATTGGGAATAGATAGGAGAAGAGGCTCTGAGATTAAATTGTTGTAAAGTTAGATATTAGGACGCTTTTTATGTAGAAAATTGAAACATTAGAGCAGACTACTTGAAACATGATAGAATCTTTGATATTAGAGATTTTCATGGAGAAATCTTAAAATATATTCCAAAAATAATGTAAGTATAGTTGATTGTCTCTTAGAGTAGGGAAATGGAATACCTGATCTTTCAAGGTCTCTTCCAGTCCAGTTATCCAGAGTGATATTATGTGATCACATGTCTGAAGAAAATTATTACAATGGAAAAATATAAGAAGTAAAGGGAACTGGTTGAATGCAGTACTTTGCCTCCCTTTTTAGAAGTTCTTCCTGTCTGAATATATAAAATTAGTATATTAATTTTGTCTCCATGCAACCTCATAATAAAATGTGTATAATATATTAATGTTGTTTCCTCTACATTCTTAAGTTTCTTACTCAAATAAAGATATTTTCTATTTTTGTAGAAAATATTATATTTTAGGATCTCAATTTTCCATTCTCAAATATTAATGTTGTATGTGCATTACTAGAAAGTTTTATTCCTGTCTTCATAAATACATGTTTGTGTATGCGCATACTTACTGCACAAGAATTTTTGAAAGATGTATTGAAACAGATGCCTAATTTACAATAACAAAGCAGATCTTATGAATGCTTCTTTCATTGAAAGCCATATGTATATTTGTGTATATAAAGCTATATATTAGTGATAACATTTATAGAATAACTTTTAAAAGTAGGTTAAAGCTTGGATAGGTGAAAACCTATCCAGACCATATATTAATTATTAGAATACCTATATCTGTGTAATACATTTAAAAATATGTGAAAATAAAAATGAGGGATAAACATTTTACAGTTACTGTTCTTTTATTCTGAGGAATAGTACATAATTCTAACTCTTTTGTAAATAGAAGATTTTTCATATTGCCAATTATTTCCATAACCTATGGACTATTATTTAAATTAACTTGTACCTGTAACATTAACTTGTTTTTTTTTTTTTTTTTAATTCCTATGTAAAATAACATCACCAGAGAAAGGACAGGAGCAATGTATAAAGTGGGAATATTTTGTCATTTGATGCTTCTGCTTTATGCATATAGAACAATGCTGGAAATGGATTATTTTACCCTTTTTCGTTAGTGTTTTTTATGCTGATGACATAATTTGTGCAGGTAAAGAGAAACCGGCTTCCTCTACTCGTTTTTTTGTTGTTGTTAATGATGCATTGTCTTTTTCAATAGTGTTTTTTATGCTGATGATATAATTTGTGCAGGTAAAGAGAAACTGACTTCCTCTACTCATTTTTTTTGTTGTTGTTAATGATGCATTGTCCTTCTTCCAGACATTGACGCTTGCATCTGTGTGTAGGACAAGAGTTCATCCCCATTTTGCAGAAAAGATATGACTCACCATTGTATAATTCCTTTTAGTTCAGTTTTCCTTTTATAGACTTGTCTCTCTAATTTAAAAAGGAAAAAATCCTGTTGGCACAGAGGTTGAACTCATATTTCTATTACCGAGCATTTCATTCCAAAAAGTTGATGAATCTCCTGAAGCTCCAGACAGCATTTCAAATGGAGCAGTGTAGTGAAGCAATCTTTTATTAACTGAATAAAAGATGGTTAAAGAATCTTTTCCATCACTTAATCTGTACATTTCAGTGACACCATATCATTTGTTCCTTAACCTACTGTACCTATTGTGCTAAGAACCAGCAAGGTAAAGAAGAAGACTCTGATGTATCCTGTAGGAAACGAAAAGTCTTGCATTTGGTGTCTCAATGGACTTCCCTCTACAAGGACTGGTTACATGAAGATGAACATTTAAAACAATTTTTAAAGGTAATGTAACCCTTCCTGATGCATTTCAGCATTGTCTAAATAGAACATTGTGTCTACAAAGCTCAATAAGGCATAATTTCTCATACTTAGATTTTCTTCTTGGAATCTTTGATGCAAAGTGATTTATCTCAGTCTTCCTCCAATGTCTTGCAGATGGTCAGTTTGCACACACAGTCCCTTATGTCAGTATATTAAGTAAAAAACGTTACATTCAAATGTGAAACTTTGAAAACTGCATGTTGTCCTGAAAATTGGGAGAATGCAGGCAGGCAGAAGTAAAGCTATGCAGATAGAGAGAGACCTTGGAAAATTCAGGCTTCTCTTCTAGAACAGAGCCTACAGTCAGTATCCAGAGGAGCATAGACAAAATGACAGTTTTGTGGTCCTTGTACCTGTTTGTGCTATTTTACCTGGAACACAAAACTCTATTCTGCAATGTTTGTCAGGTGCACATGACAACTGGGTAGCTTTATGCACTTCTAGTAAATAAAAGTCTGTCCTTGTTTGTAAACATGGACATGATGATCTTTTTGAAGTTGCTTTTTAAATTGACTTGTAAATTTGCAAATAGTAAAGTCATCATTGTGTGAAGATCCATCTGGCTGCTTTTTTTTCTTCAGACTGTTAGGTGCAAATATTTTGGGATAACGTGCAAGATCGTTCTGTCCTAAAGGCTGCTCCTTTTCTTCAGTGGGAGATCTTGAGGACCTTTTCAGCCATTCAGTGAAGTCGTAGTGAAGAAATGTTGAACTAAAATTGAAGGTCCGAAGCTTCTCCTTTCCTCTTGGAGGAGGGCAAGTTGCCCAGGAACTTAAGGGCAGAGGAAGAGGCCTTAAGATTTTTGCTGTTAGATACTAAGTGTATAGAGTCGTACTATGAAGTGGACATCATGCTAGCCAAGAGTTTAGTTTTACGGTATTGCGAGTATCTTGTTGCAGGGCATATCTTTCTGCCCCTGCAGGTGAGTGACTCTATGCTGTTCTTGCACGTAGAAAATCATGCTTGACATGGCTGTGTGATATTAAACAGGGGTAATATTATTGATGATTGAAGTTATATGTGCAGAAAATAACCTGTCAGGTTGAAATAGAGTGCAAGAGTGTTAATTGGCTAAAGCAAACCTGATGATGCAACTCATACATATGATGCTTGTCTACTCAGAAGGAGAAGAGAAGGACCTATGTGCAGATTCTGCAAGGCAGAGAGAAAACATTTGCCATGGTTTCCATCATCAAAAGCAATAGTTTGTTTACCTTTTATCTGAGGTGCTGGCATTTACACTGAACATAGATTCCCAATTGATGATACTGAGAAAATGCCTCCCCCAAAAAGAAAAGGAAAGGTTTATTTGTGTATTGATTTAAAAGAGTATCTTCCTTTTTGTTTTTGAGAGATGTTGCGCGTTTTGAAATGCATGCAAATGCACAAAGTAAAGGAAAAATATCTTCATTTTTAGTTGAGTTCAAATTAGCCTGTTGTTACCATTTGGGGTAAGTGACAATGGTATTATATGTTCTTGTGCTTGAGAATCTATCCTTCTGGTAAGCCAGGTTTTATATAGCAGCCACAAGTGCCATGTTAAATCTTTCTGTTTGTAAACTAATGAGTGACATTGAGTAGTCTGGAAATTCAAATAGGAACATTCTTTATTTATAGATCTAGTGCAAATATAATGCTGAAATTTATTTTAATAAGCTCGTGCCTTGTTTGATTTAGACTGCTGATGTGACATTTATTTTTGAGTTATCTGATGTTTGCAGATACTGTTTTATTTTGTAGACAATATACAGAAATGTGTTAGATGATGTGTATGAATATCCCATTCTTGAGAAGGAGCTGAAAGAATTTCAGAAGATACTTGGAATGCATCGTCGTCAGTAAGTATTGATGATATCTGTGGTCAAGATTCTCTTTATTTTAGAGTGTTATTTATTCTTATCATCACTCTGATATAATTCAGTAAAGAGTGACAAATGAGCAATTAGGCTAGTATATTCATTTTTACAAGTCATCTTTAAAGTAAGGCTAGATTACTCCATCTTCTCTGATATTTGTGAAATATCACATTGTTCTGCAATCATTCTGATCAATTTTGGTTAGATGACTTGCAAGTAGAGCAATATCTCTGTGAAGAAGCTAGCAAAATTTGACTCAGACCTTGTAGCCTCTCCCTTGAAATGGTGCATGTTCTCTCTCTTTCCACATCTCTTTCTGTATAGTCTGCAGAACTGAGAATCAAATCTCTTTTGTGATGGATGCGTCAGTGTTATGATTTTGCCACTAATTTTGATACTTTTAAAACATATTTCCTTGGCACTTTTTTGCGACAGGGTTTTTGTGTGGTTTATCCACTTGGGAATTGGAGCTGTGACACTGACCAAGACCTGTGCCCCTTCCTGTGCCCGAGCTGTTACCAGTGCTCTGGGAGCTCACAGACTTTTAGGATTTTTTTTTTTTGTTTTCCTCCATTGGTTATACAACTGGCAGAAAACTTTTCTGGGTGAGCCAGGCTCTCTCAGCTTTCCTTGAAGGAGCTCTGCTGTCATTTTCTGGTGCCCATTTAATGGTAAAATTTCCTGATATTGCAAAATTTTTAATATCTGCAACTTCTTTCTCTTAGTTTTTCAATGGAAAAATTAATTTGGATTTTTCTTTTTGTTTCAGCACTGTGGATGAATATTCACCTCACCGAAAGGTAACACAGAGCTGATTGCTATATTGAATTCTAGCTAATTTATAATATCACCTCCCTGTCCCTACTTTCTCTTCCCTCTTTTCTTAGTTTCTCATTTAAAAGTGACTGGTTACCAAAAACATGACAGGATATATCAGTGAGACTAGACTGGCAACACTGCTTAAGGAGATTTCTTCTGCCAGCTTAGACTGCATATCAGTTACATGAACTAAGCTAAAGTGGCTGTGACAATATTTGCATTTTAACAACACACACTGAGATGTCAGAATGCAGTAGGAGCCTAGGAGCGTGTCCTTGTTTGGCTCAATAGATGCAGCAAACCTGGATAAACTGATTCACACACAGACATGGACTGCAAACATTGGATAGATAGAATAAAGGGGGATTTCTTGTGACAGGGACAGAAAGCAAGAGAGAAACATGAATTTGTGTCTGTTTAACTAGAGGGAAAAGAAGCAAACAGAGAGCACTGGCATCCGCTGCAGGGAGGTGGATCACTCTGCTCACTAATTTAGTGGACTGGCACCAGGGTGTGTAATAAGCTTTGAAGTGTTACTTTGGGAAAGGAGAAGGCAGAACAGGAGATTGTTGTGAAAGTGCTAAATAGGCCAGTCGATAGTTGCTATTTAGGACTGTGTGTAAGAAATGGGCTAGGAATATGATGGAGAACCCTGAACGTGCAGGCTGCCTCGCTGAGGCATATCTCACTTCCTTAAAAATCCCCACCTTTGCCATTGTTAATAAGGCAACTCCCAGTTTGCTTATCCAAGAATGGGTGGGTGGATTTCCTATGCAAAAACTTTTTTGGACAGACTTACGTGCTGAATGCTGTGTGCCATGAATTATTCATTTGCAAAGGGCAGGAATGCAGAGAGTCATTGTTGTTTCTTTTTTCTCCCACTCCCTCACAGAATAAAACATTTTTCCAGCAATTCAGTCTGAAAGAGAACTGGCTGCAGCACAGAGGAACCATGAATGAAACAGAAGAAAGTAAGTACGATTTAAAGAGTGGAGGAGAAACTTAGTGCAATGCCTTTAAATGTAAGTGCAAAATTATTTTTCAGTAAGAACTGCCTTAGGAGAATAAGGAGAAAGGTTTGCCCGTGCAGTGCTACCTTTCTGCCCCCAGCTTTGCAGGAGTTCAGCAGTGAAATGATACCCTCAGGGCTTTTCCCTGCATCCCATTCCTGCAGCTCCCCTAATGAAGCTGTGTGACTCGCAGAAGTGCTGGCAGCCTCTTGCCTGGCCTTCGTTTCCTGCTCTACTTCATGGTCTCAGTCTCTTGACCTAGATCTTGCTTGTGAAAGGTGAATAAGCCTGTCACATTAAATGGGTTAGGATCCACTAACTCTGCGAACCTGTGTGCATTGCTTCTCTCCTCAAAAACATTTCCACGTGGGATGCAAAATGCCACTGCAGTTTAACGTCAACCATTTCAAAATACAATTTGCCTTCACTGCTAGTAATGCAAGAATAAAGTGAAGCTGTCAGCCTCCCGTAATGCCTTTGAGAGCTGTGAGAGAAAGGAGGCAGAGGGGAGAATAATATCATGTATGTAGGCAGAGAACAGTCAGAAAGACCTCCTACCTGGAAGTCTTCCCTCTCTGACCATTTATCTTCTCACTGGGAATTCAAGTCCAGAAGTCTAGTTCAGGACAGGATGTTATAAATGCTTATTTCTGATAAAAATAATAACTGTATTCCTTTAATGCCAAGTCTCTGTGCATAGTATATGCTGCTGATAGATACTGTTTTTCCACATCTGAAATCCAGGTTTATTTGAGCTTTAGGTTCACAAGCCTGCTTCCAGAAATATCATTTCCAGATGAGAACACCCAGCACTCATTTTTCTTTTTAAGAACTCAGAAACTGCTCATGTTGGAACAGGGAGAGAAGTGTTTTGGCATAGGAGAGGAGGGGACAGGCAACACGGCCATGGAAAAAGGCATGGATTGGGTCCAGAGATGGCAGTTCTGGTTGGCTGAAGTTGAGTGTGAGCCGTGGGAGACCCTGGAACTGAGGGAACGAAGGCTTCGAAGTTGGGCAGGAAAAACAGGAAAGTTAGGGCAGGCATCCACCCTGGTGCTGTGGTCCTTCAGAACTGGGGGACTTCAGGGCTCTCAGGGGCTACAGTGACAGACTAAGCAGGGCCAGCACAGAGGTTCAGGCAGTGACATATATTGCCCATACTGCCTAATTTTTCAGGCATTCCTCTGCCTGGTTTTGATCCATGCAAATTAGCCGCACGTTGCCTGGGCACAGATCAAGGAAGCATCTCGGGCTGTGGAATGGTGCCAGGTGATGGTGGTTGTGCAGGATGAGTTTATACAAGCCATTTATCCATGCGGCTTGCCCTGAGGGCCAGGGAACAGACCCGACCCATTTTATCCACCAGTGTAAGTGTCACCAGGGTGCCTGGGGTCAGCTCTGTCTGTGCACCCTCCCTCCGGCTGCGCGTTCCCTCCTGTGCCTCATGGAGGAGCGGCACTGGCTCTGGGAAGGGATGTCATAGCCCATGCCACGAGATACCACAGATAGGACATTTACAAGGTGCGTGGAGGAACAGGCTTTCGGGAAGCAGAGTCATGATTTTTATTGAGAATCTGACCTCCAAGTTGCTTTAGTTAAATGTTAAACAAAAGATATGCCATTAGCCCAATTATAAAGTAATATACTGCTGTCATCTTCCCCTCCTGAATGACAGAGAGATTTCTGGTAAATTCCCTGTAGGCAAGTTGTGTCGCACTCTGCATATGGAGGCCAAATATTCTTGTCAGATTTTTATTTATTTATTTTATCCATCCAGTAATTTAGAGCACGGTTTGATGCGTTTATCTTTTCATGAGTTATACCCATTCTAAAGGGAGATTCTTCCATGGGATGAGCATCTTTGTCTGTCAGCAGAGACAAAGAAAAAACTACAAAATATATTTTTTTAAGAAAAAACTACAAAATGACTTTTCTTTCCCAAGCTTAACATTAAGTTCCTCCTTCCCCCTCATCTTCATTTTTCTTTACTAGAATACAAAAAAAAGTTGTTCACTAAGGTTGAGTTCTTACCAATGCTTCTAGCAGAGTATCAGTTAATGGAAGTACCCGAAGCTGTCAGATTTGTGGGACAAGCACAAACCTATTGCTGCATCCATCTGCCAATAAAAATCACAAAAAATATTTCTGAGGAGAAAAGGATTGTCTTATACTATTACTGTAGCAGCCTGTCTGCAATAAAAAGTACTAAAGTAGAGGAAAATGGAAAATTTAATTAAGCACTTAAGTGAGTATGAAATCAAGGGTTGTGGTGATGATGATGATTCTCATTAGTAGACGTTGTCGTTTTTAAAAATATTGATGCCAGTCTGCTGCTCTGTTTCTTCCCTTTTAAGTGTAGCAGCTGTATTTCAAATAACTGGCTACTGCAAACTCAGCAAAAGTTGCAAACCCAAAGTTGTGGAAAGCCGAGGGAGCAAACACCACCTTTGTAGCTGAAGCAAAGTACTGAACTGGCTGCATTATTGATGTGAAATCTCGCTCCAAGAGCTCTCAGAGCCTAACCAGCTCATCGACTTCAGGGGAAATTATGAGCCTAGAGAGTTTTTCCAAGCCAGTCCCTTTTATATGTGCTGCAAGGGATTCAGAAAAGGCTGTTTGAAGTAATCATGCTGCTCCTTGGGCAGCCTCTGTTTGTACTAAAATACCCTGGCAGTGCATGTAGTTCAGATGTCTAGACAGATAAGCTGGATGGAGTGGTTGCAGAAGGCTGGGGAGAGCTCTTCTGAGACGCTCGCTGGTGGAAGTGCAGAATAATTACTGCAAAGGATATGAAGTGTCCTGAAAAGCAGTGATTTATCTGAACCTAAAAGGGACAAAAGATGACAACAGCTGAATCTGCAAAGAAGTTGGAAGAGAAGGTTGATCTCTGAGAAATCCTTGCAGCAGGAGCTCTGCCTAGGTCTCGCTGAACCGTGGGGTCTCTGATTGCCCCTACTGTTTCCCAGGGAGAGGAGATGGAAGTGGGGAGTAGTGATGTTTGTGCATAGGGTATCACATTCCTGGATATCAGCTTGCAGCAGCAACCACTGTTGCTCTTTAGTGATATTTGGGCAGCCGAAAGCATTGCTGTGGCTGCGAGTGTGAAATTCTGCTTTGAATTTGTACACATTTCTGACCGTTGCTGAGCGTGTCTTTCTTCCTTTGTGCAGTTTTCTGCCGTGTGTATATCACAGAGCACTCTTACGTCAGCGTGAAAGCCCAAGTATCCACTTCAGCTCAGGAGATACTGAAGATCGTGGCAGAAAAGATCCAGTACAGTGAGGAGGAGCTGGCACTGGTTATAGTCACCTTCTCTGGTGGTAAATAACTTTCCTTCATCTAATCGCTTATCTTTTACTGTACCACGTAAGGGAGGGCTGACATTTTCTGGAACAAGGATGCAGCTGTTCCTGTTCAGGCCCACAGCTGGATGGCCACGGGAACAATAAGGAGCTGCTTCCCAGAGAGTCGTTTCCATGGCAACAGCTCATTCTTGGGTACCGTCGGATACGGCATTTCCTCACTGGAAAGGGAATGTAAAGGACTGTCTTCAGCATGCTGCAAGATTTCTTTTCTCTCAGAGATAAACCTCCCACCTTCACATTTAAATTAATTTGGAAGGTGGTGAAGCATGGTTTGCTTTAAAAATAAAAAAGGGAACAGTGAGTACTATGTGTGTGGTTGTTCTTTATGCCTGGGTAATGAATGTTCTCTAATGAAAAGGAAGGAAAGAAATATTTGCACAGTTGAGATGGTGAGAAAGTCTAAGCAGCATTTTGTTTTTATGAATCTGGCTTACAACTGACATTTTTGCTTATTATTTTAACATTTCTCATTTAACAGGAAGGGCTTTTTATCTCTTCAAAGGAATATCAAACTGATCACAGGCAGATACTAATAACCTACCAAACCTCAAATATTTTGTTTGGTGTCTGTCAGGTCTCAAGATCCTTGGGAAGTTGTTTGCTGCTTGTGGCATCTTTTGCTCTTAGTAAAGATAAAACAAGGAATTTAACTAGGTACATAGAAATGAAAAGTTGAATCCACATAAAAGGGCTAAGACTTCAGACCAGCAGGGCCGTATCTTTGGCTGATGTTAACTGGCATCAATCCTGCGTCCAAGGATGGACCCTTAAAGACAACACACTCATTCTTACTTCTTTGTCAGTCTGATTAAGTGAAATATAGACAAGTGCTGGGTTGTTTTGTTTATTTATTTAATACAGAAGTGGAAGGTCGCATTCTTCTCCCCCATGCCAAGCTCGATTAGATAGCCATTTTTTCTACAGGGAGCTGGTGTGGGTGGCGAGGAGATGGCATCCTGCCCTGGCAATCCCGGGCATGGAGCAGCCACACAGCATTCCTTGTAGGCATCTTGGCCAGCTCATCTACATCGTTTGCAGGCATACTTGTCTTATATCCTTGCATAGAGCCAAACCCAACCTGCAGTGTATTTTTCAGCACTGCAAAATCACTGTGTTACTACTGTTTCTCAGGTGCTGTGGAGGAGCAGGAGAGCAGGGTGAGTTTTGCCCTGATAACAGGAAAACTGATGCTAGCTGCCTGCTTAGCTAAAGAAAGCCAACAGTTCATAAATAATGAAGCACCCAGTTATCTCTAGACCATATTCATTCCTGAGAAAGCCCCATGGTTGATATGGTTGCCACTTTACTGTTCAGTTAGAAACAAAATAATTAAAATGCAAACACAATAGGACTGTCATTTGTACGTGACCATTTGTAATATCCAAAATGTTATTTTGTCACATTAAATTAATTAATAGGAGATACTACAATTGTGGTGCCCTCGTTGTAAAGCATTGTCAGGCATGTGCCATGTGCAATAAATGCTGACCTGCCATACATTTTCCTTTCCTTATTGCTTTGCTGTTTGCATGACTAAAAGAGTCTTCTGTCTTCCATCTGCAGGGCAGGAGTATGAGCCTTAAAGATCTCATTTTTAATATACTGCTTAAATGAACAGAGAAGCTGTTTAATTCAAAATTACCTTGAAAAAGCCATACTTCTGGTTAATGGAAGTGTATCAGGTGCTGCTGTCAGTGTGAGCGTGATTAAAGGGGACAGGTAGAGAATAATGATAGTTTCTAATGATGTTTGTCTCAGAATCTGCTGGTTCTGACCCCTCTCTTGTGGACCTTGGAAAGTCCAAGACAGCTTTGCAGCACTTTTGGAAGCACAGTTTTTCAGCTGTATTACTGTTCAGCTGTTTTAATTCATTTTTTCCCACAGCTTTTGCTGATGTATTCCAGATTGCCTAGTGGTGATCATTGATTGACTAGGGGAAAAGAAGACCTTCTTCTCTGATACCTGATGTTGTATTGTGCTCTTCTATCAGAGTTTCAGATTACTAAAAAAAAAATTGCACCAGGTCTGGATGAATTTCTCTAAATACAATTGTACAATGACTTTTCACCTCTTCCTCTGCTGCATGGTGAAAATTTCATCTACTTGGGATCCTTTAATTATCCCTTTCCATTGACTGGTCATGGCTACATCTTCTGCTGCTGTCTGCTTGGGGAATACAACAGTTTGGTCTCCTTAAGCCTGAGACACTTTAACGAATGTCATTTCATTTACTGTAGATGTCTTGGGTTGAAATGAAATGGTTGGTAATACATAGGAGGTTAGACCAGATGATTTAAGAGTCTCAGCTCTATCCTATATAAAGGCTAAGCTGAAAGCAGATTCTGGAAGATATTTGTGCTTTAGTCCAAATGGTGACAACTCGCCTTCATTGTGTCTGAATAGCACAGAGATGATGATACCATGCTCAGCATATGAATAGGGACTGTGTATGATGCTTAGTTTCATTTTAAAAAATTGATGCACTTTATACTTCTTTTTGTGATGCTTGTCTCACATACATACACATATAGCTTATATTACATTTCTGAAGCTTTTGCGTTTTGTTTTCTATTTTTAAAGAAAAGCATGAACTACAACCAAATGACCTGGCTATCTCAAAATCTTTCGAGTCATCCAGTCGTATGTTTGTCTACCGAAAAGATCTGACTGATTCTTTGGTAAGGCTGTATTATTTCTACTTTCCATTTTTGGTTTGTCTGACTTCTGATCAAGGATTTAGTATTCCTCTCAGAGGAATTTTTCAACACAGAATTTATCTTTAATTCCTTAATAAAACTTACTGAGCTGTGTTATATGTGAAAAAGAATCTGTTAACTGCCACTATTCTGCTGAACAGTAATTAAATTTGTTCATCAAAGAGGGCAAAACTTCTATATGGCTTAAATCTTTCAGTCTACATCAGCCTAGAAAAGCTGACTTGTGCTTGTGCCAGACTGGTGGTCTGGAAATTACTTCAGGGACATGTAGCTCTCTTTCTTGTGCCTTTGTTACACTTAAAACACTGGTGGCTGGTGTGTAATCGTGGAAGGAAATGCATGCATACCATGGAATTGCTGCATGTAGAGATGGATTTCATCAGTCATGCAGTGTGAGCTCTACCAACATTACCAAGCATCAGGATGACCACAGGATATGTGGGAAATGTCTTGTCCCAGGAAACACCTGTGGAGAAGCCAGGAGAGTGTCCTGAGTATCCCCAGGGCCACTCACTCCTTGAAGCTGACCTCTCCCTTCCCCTCCACACAACAGTGTCTAGTGTCCTCGGGCACCACGTGGGTGGAGGGAGTTGGCAATGCCAGTTCCCAAAACCTCAGTGAAGGAGGAATAATCAGACCCTAAAATTTAGAACTAGCTTTTCAGTATTTTTCTGCTAATTATCCATATATGTTTAAGTGCAGGGATGGACAGCATTGCAACTGTTTTTTTGTGTTGTCACTGAGATCTGTGCATTCATCCTAGGAATGAGACATGTCTATTTATGTTTTAATAGACCCTTGTGTCTTTAAGAGTTGACGTGCCAGTGTCATTATGATTTGTCATCCTCATTGCAGCATTCTCTAAAATGCTAGTATTAAGAAAAGATTTCCAGATTTCCAGTGTAGACAGGTGACTGCCAATGTAATTTCATTAGTTATGTAATCATTCCAAAACTTGATGTAACTGTCAAAAAATGTAGCACCAAAGCAATGGCTTACCTGATCAGAATAATCTTTCATTTTGGCTGATTGTCCCACAGTGGGACACTGTGGGAACTGATTGTTCAGGTAATAGTGATTCCACATTGATATGCCCAGTAACTTTTATGAATCAGGACCCACAATGTTTATTGGCAATTGTTTTCAAAGAAAGACAATCATAGAATTGATGGTTTTATGCTATTTGTAAATGTATGTGTATTGCTGGCAAGTTGAGTGTTTTTATTCAAAATCTGATGTATTTGCAGAATGCTTACTTTATCTTTTAATACAAAAATGTACTTTATGGTGATTCCAGGGGTTTTATTTTCATGGTTGGTGTTTTATGCTCAAGGTTTAGAGAGAGAGAGAGAAAGAGAGGGAGCAAGCCTAATCCAATGAAATTATTGATCCAATTTTCCTCTTTCAAGCTATTTATTAAATAGGCTATAACGAATTGATTTTGATTAGTGTGGGGAAAAAAAACGTCAGAGTGCACTTAGAGAAGATTACTTACTCAGCCTTGCTTTGTACCTCAGTCTAGTAGCTATTTCATTGCAAGGCTTCTGTCATTTGCTCAGGATTTTTTTGCTTTTGGCTATTGATTTAGAACCCGTTTGCTGAAAACGAGGAATTGCAGCAGAGATCTGTGAGAATTCTGGGAGTCAACACCTGGGATCTTGCCTTGGAGTTAACAAACTTTGACTGGAGTCTCTTCAATGCAATTCATGAGGTAAGAAGTGCCAAGTCTGCTTCCAAGAACACCAGTCATGCAGCACTGTTCATTTTTATGTCCTGGCATTGCATCAGTATCTTGCAGAATCTCTATTGCATGGCTCTTGGTTCATCTTCACAGTAGCAATTCAGATATTTTGCCATCTTTCATACTGAAAAGTTTTTCAAAGGTTTGTAACTTCCCTGTGCTGGAGCACCTGATAAGTTCCCTGTGTACTTGGTGGGTTTTATTCAGATTTGCTTCTGAGTGTAAAAGAACAAGATTATTTTCTAAAAATATCTGCATGTATGTGTGTTGCATATAAAAACTGTCCTTCGCACTTGATAATATTCTAGTAAATATATGGCTCCACAAATGGATATAACTTTAACAATAACATAATTCACAATTTGAGCCAATTAGTTGTTTATATTACTTTTTTTGTAAGATTAAAAAACTGGGAAGCTTTATTAAATGGTGCAAGAGCCCGCTCAATGCCCATTAAGATGTGTCAATGTAGTCTTAAATACGTTTTGGTGTGAGCCACTGAATAAAAGATCCAATTAACATTGCAATGGTGCAGCACAAAATGTCATTTGAAATTATCAAATGAAAAGCATGATTTGTTCTGCAAAAATGGACAGGATGCCTCTCATCAGCTGCTTTCCTTGAGTTTTCATTTCAGGTTCTTTTATTCAAGTTTCACTTTAAAGCTAGAGCTGGCACGATTTTTTGCACAGAAATTAAGATCCACACCTCTGTTCTTGAAACATTGACTATTTTCAGAATTGAATTTAAATGGAAATTTTTCAAATTCTGGAATGTTCTCATATGGGCTACTTTTTGTACGGAAGTGAAACAGACATGAGGAAATGCTGAAAGAGACAGATTGCTTATATCCTATATCTAGCTGAAACCAGAAGTGAAGGTGCAGGAATTCTCACCAAAAATACCCTTGCAGGACTTCCAAACTTGCAAACTGCAATAAGCCTCTAGACTTTTTTTTAAACCAGACCTGGACCCTGAGTCATCTGTGACTGGCTCACAGACAAGGAAAAATTGCATAATAATTCCTTAATATTTTTGTCTTCCAGCAAGAGCTGATATACTTCACCTTCAGCAGACAGGGCAGTGCTGAAAACACTGAGAATCTCAGTCTTCTGCTTCAGAGATGCAATGAAGTCCAGCTTTGGGTTGCCACCGAGATCCTCCTCTGCAACCAGCTCTGCAAACGTGTACAGCTAGTGAAAAAGTTCATCAAGATTGCAGCTCAGTAAGTTAGCAAGTTTCCAAAAGTTTCATTGAATGCACATGCTTTATTTTCTGGGAAAAGGGAAGTAGGTGCAAGAATGAATAAAGGAAACTGCTTGTCATCATGTATTTGTACAAATATAACAAGCATGCCTAGATAAAACATCCCATAAATAGCAACAGCAAACGCTGGCGAAAGCTAGCTGGTGGTGGAGTATACGCTATGCAACTCTCCCTTAGCAGCTTAGACAATATATCTGCAGCATCAGCTGCAAAGTCAAGGATTTTTACAACAGATCTCTCCTTTCTCAGTGGAGATAATCCAGTGAACCATATGAGAAAACTGTTTGAGCTCCCAGTTATTTGCCAAAGACTACGTGGAAACCACTAAAGCTTGTTTTAAACTTAGAGCCATACCTGTAGTGAGGAAGCTAGATGCAGTAAGCTATTGCCCTATATAGCTCTCTCTGGAATACAGTTTAATTTATGTATTTTATTTGCTGTATTCATTAGATTTGTCTGTCTATACTTAAACTATTACTAATCAGTTATGGCATTTTTTTCTATGCTTTGAATCAGAATCATATTCTCTACGCAGAGAGTTCTTTTGTCTGTTATCACTTTTATTTTGGTAACCAAAGGATTGGAGCAATTTAAATACGTGCAACCATTCTCCTCACTTCTCTCTCTACCTGTTCATCTTCTGCAATATTTGAATATGCATGTTCATGGAAAATGTATAATTTCTTCCCCTCACTGACTGGGTTGATTTAATTTGTTTCAAGCAAGGCAGTTATATACAAAAGACTGTTCTCTGCTGGAGCGGTGCTTTTGGTGAAATGAATTCTAATCTCATCTAGTGTAACTCATAAATGTGATTTGATTTGGTTTGCCAAGTTGTATGCAATCCAATAATATGTTCTTTTTCAGTGTTATCAGTGGTCAAGTTTGGTCCAATTATGTCAGAAATGGTTGGTTCTGTGTGGCTTCCTTGCACTACAGTAGTATTAATTCGCATTCCAGAAAAAGTTTTATATCTGTCCTGCATGAATAGAGATATATTTGTCTCTAGAATAAAAGGTTGCCTTGTCTAAGCTAACACCATCTCTGTTAAGTGAATAGTCAAATTTGCAAAAACTAAATACAATCACCAGTAAAAGATACAGCATCTGTCTATGCATTTCAGTGGCACCCATCATTTTTGCATGTAGGTGCTGAAATAATGAATACCCACATAGGCAGTGTGTAGCTTGCTCAAGGTTCTCTTTTAATCAGAAAAGCAGAAAAGCAGTTATCAATTCTGGGACAGTTAACGCAAGAGGAACAATCAGGGTGGAGGGACAGTGTGCTAGCCACAGGAGTGTCATCATTGAGGAGCCCCTGGCAGCCCTCTGACTGCTCCCTCTTCTCTGCTCCCATATTCAGCCGGGACTGCCCCTGACATGGAGATTGTCATCACAGGACCAGGTCTAAGATCTTGTGTTCAGCGTTCACATGCTCCATTAAGTAGGAACAACTGAAGAAGAGGGAAGGCCTTTATAAACATATAGCAATACCTAAAGGAAAGGGAGGGGTTTTGATTCTTACGTTTTTGTTGATGAAATAGTCTAAGATAGAAACCAAGTAATTTGATAAATGAATTTGCATGCAGTTAAAAATGAATATCTTAAGAAGGTATAGAAGCAGTTCAACATAGGCATCGAATAAATTGGTCATAATAGAATCTTTCCTCAGAAAACTCCAGTCTAAGTAATTGGAAAAACTTTTTAAATTTTTGTTCTTTCCCAATCAATAGCTGACTAATATACAAACCCAGTCTACACTGGTGGCCCACATTCTCTCCACAGTTCTTTGAGACATGTGCCCCTCCAATAGGCAGCTTATCCAGACTGTGTTAGACATCCGTCTTATTTTGGAGCAAATTGCTTTTGGAAAGTGCTTGATGGATGATAAAAGGAGTCTGAGCCACAAAGTTAGGATTAACTTAGAATAGCTGAAGCAAAGTGAGGTGTATGCCATGTAAATAGTATGCAGTGGTATGGGCAGCTAAAGTGAATGTAAAAAACTGCAACAATACTGGAGAGTTTTCAGTCTAAGACCTTAGCACAAGCTTTTACCAGAAGATTACTCCCTGTGAAGCACTCCTATATCTTAAAAGGGGCTTCTAACACATACACACATATACATGCACGTACACGTTCATGTTTATAGTGGTCTTCGAGAATCTGCATAAGCAGCTGACAGACTTGCTTTGAATAAGAATCTGTTTCATGATTTCAAGTTTCTGAATGTGCTAGAAATAATCAAGGACTGATCATAGATAGTAAAATATCAAATAGAGGTATCAAGCAAATTCCACAGAGACCACTATTGGAACCAGTGCTAGCTATAACTCATTTACAGGGCTATGTAAATTGAACATTAATCAGATTTTCAGAGAATAAAAATGATGAGGGATTGCAAATGCACTGGAGGGTAGAAAAATACAGAATGATCTACGGAGTCTAGTGACATGTGCAAACAACAGTGGGATAAGATTTAATTTAGATAGATGCAAAGTAATTTCGGCTTGGGAACGACGATACCAAGATGAAGAAATAAATACGTTATTATAAAGAGCAGTATTGTGGTAAAGGTCATTGAGTGATAATAGATGACAAATTTAAGGACATGGATGAAGTGTGATGATGTTGCAAATAAATACATTTGATATTTGTTTAAAGATGCACAGGAGAAAGGTCTAAGAATGGACAGACAAAGCAGTAATTGTGCTTCTCCTTCTCTCCCCACTGTCACACTATATCATCTCCTTGAAGAAGGAAATGCATGGGAGAAAAGTTAAAATAAATAGCAAGTAATTCAATAGAGGATAATAAGAATATAGAAAAGCAGATAGGAGACCCATGGCTACAAAGAGAAATTGAGGCAATCGATGTACAGTTTATAGAAAAAATGAAAGAGGAGATGGAAATATTTATAATAGAACAGAGTCAAGGAATTATTCTCTATGTCACTTGAACATTGAAAAAGGAAAATTTCTTTTGACAACAAAAGGAAAAAAATAACCTGCCAACAACAAGGTTGATAAGCCAGTGGAACATTTGCTAAAAACTTCTTAGAGACCTCGTCACCTAGACTGCAGGTGGTCAAGATGGCACATTTAATGAGTTCATTATATGAAAGATGATTGCAGGTTAGTGCTGAGAGTCAAAATGGGACCTAGGATGCCTGTGCATTCCATTCATCTCTGGTTCTGAGGATAAGAAATCAGAATACACCATTCGTATTTTCATTTCACAGCTGTAAAGCCCAAAGGAATCTGAATTCTTTCTTTGCCATTGTTATGGGTCTGAACACTGCGTCTATCAGCCGACTGTCTCAAACCTGGGAGGTAAGATGCATCTTTGTATCTTTTAGACCTTCTCAGAATTCTTTCTCGCCCAGGTTGTATACTGGCAAATTACCTTTTCTTTCTAAATTTTGGCTTCTCATGGAAAGAGAGTACAGAAAAGGGGGGAGTACAGAAAATTTTATGTGACCTAAAACCTCAGATACATGACATGAAATAAAATATGTCCTCGTGGAAGGTTTAAATAAGAACAAAGCAAAGATATCTAACCTTCTTAAAAATCAAGTACATAATCCTAGCATTTTAAGCAGGTGTCAGAACAGAAGGTCTCATAATAGGAGTTCCAAATGAAGCTTACCTTAGTATGGAATAATTTCACTAAAAGTACAAAATAGGAAAATAAACCCTTACTAATTCCCCTTGATGAGCTCTTTACTAGCTGCTCATTTTGAGAAATGAAGTTAGGAAATGGGCTGTGAATAAGGAGTGTATTGGAAAACAGAACATAGAGATGAACTGCTCAAGAGGCAAACAGTTGCTGGACAGAGCATAGGATATTACAAGAAGGGTCCCTATGGGATCTTCTGTTTTTTTTTTTTCAATCAAACTAAATTATTGAATAATAATATTTCCAAGCTTATTATATTTGCTGATAACCTCAAATCAGAGAAGGAGTGATTTAGTGTAATATGGAGGGAAAACGGACCTTTGGCCCTGGTACCCAACATTACAGGCAGGCAGTGACTCTGCCGCAGCAATTGACAAAGTGCTGCTGTGGCCTCCACAGTTAAAGATATTCTTGAACACAAACAGCTGAAAACAACTGGCACCAGGAGCTGAAAACAAGTGGCCATCAGGGGCTTACAAAGATACTTAAACACTGTCCAGATTCCCCTTAGTTGAATGGGACATGGAAATACCACAGCGTTGTCAGTAGCAGAGAGATAAGGGCACCAACTGTTTCTGTGGGAAGGAGCTTACGGAGGCACAGATAGGCAAGGATCAGCTATTATGAAATAAATCAAAACTCTTCAGAGGAAAAATATGTGCTTGAGGTTAACTATACAGAAAGCAGGGTCTGTCCTGCTTCTGAAATGCCTTGTCTACCTGCGACCATTTGCCCTTGCCTGATCTTATGAATTGCCTCCGTCCCTTTTCTTTGGGCCTTGGTAGGAATGTGGAAGAGAACTAAGTATTTTATTGGAGGTCCCTGGTAGCTCTTGCGTAGATCTCCTGCCCAGAAATAACCCAGAGCTCCCCTCAGTGGTGAGAGCTCTCCAAATACCATGCTTCCCTGTTGAATTTTGCTCAGGAAGAACAGACTATATTATTTATCTGAACAAGGAATGTCTGCCTACACACTGCATAAATATATCTAGTTTCTGTGTGTAAAGTGTTTATGAAGTCAAACTTCCATTTTTTTTTTATTTATAAAACTTTACTGGAAATTTCAAAAGCAGAGGGTTATTTGCATTAGTGATGTGACTTCTAGAAGGTAGAGCAATGTGTATAAATTAATTATAATTACTTACATGTGTAAACAAAGTCACCAAAATTTAAAGAACCATTTAGGCACTAAACTAGGCACTTGATTTGTTAAATGAGTTGCATACACCCAAGCACATCTGCTTTCTTTTCCTGATTGGAGAAATTAAAAATGTACAATTGCAATTCCTATATGTCATTACCTTAGCATTTTAATCATACAACACATCCATATACTGAATCTGAATCTCCTTTCTCTTGGTGGTTTCATAGTGACTGTGATCATCTAAGGACATAGGTGAGGCAGGCTTTGCAGTAAGAAGGAATGCTAGACTAGTATAATTAAAAAGAATAGACAAGCTTTCAGGCCTGCATGCCCCTCTTAAGTCTGAAATACCAGCAGGAAAATTCAAAGTGAAGAGTATTCTCTGAGTATATAATTCTCTCAGTATAGTGAGATGAATCCCTTAAAGCATCTGCAGGAGCAGAGTAATGCCTGCAAGTGTTAATGTACTGAGGAGGGAGGAAGAAGGTCAATTTGCATGGGCTTTCTTGGGAGGTGTTTTGTGCACCATCCTGTGGGATTAGAATGAGATCCTGGAGTTACTGTGGTCGTTCTGTAAGGAAAGTTCTCTCTGCTGTGGCATCCTCTGCGCACTGGTGGGAGGAGGTAGAGCAATGACAGTATTGTACCTCTTGATTTCTAAAACCAGCAGTTTAGGGAAGGAATGATTGCAAGAAATGATTTAACTGGAGTATGTTTACAACATCTACAACATCCTCAGCCTGTGTTACTATTTCTAACCTAATAAAGACACTGAAATAAATGTGGTAGGCATGGAAGTTAGGAAAGGAAATAAAACAGCTGCTAACAGGCAGTTTCGTAAGGGACTGTGTGCGTGCGGGATCCCAGGAGGCAGCTGCGTAGTCAGATGTGTTGGCGTTGCTGCACTGAACATGGTCTCTAATGAGGACTTGGGGAACACAGGTTAACTCCCAGGGCAAGCGGCCTGGTGATACTGCCAATAGGCACGTTGCATATGACAGTCTCATGGGGGAAAAAACCTTCAATATTTTCCTGTTGGGGCTTGTTTTTTAATCTTTTTTTTTCTGCTTTTTCCTACTTCAGAAAATTCCAGGGAAATTCAAGAAACTTTTCAGTGAGCTGGAGAGTTTAACAGTAAGTACAGCGTTGATAGCAGCAGAGAACAGCTTGCCTTCTTTTGACTTACCTTCTTTTTGACTTATTTTGAAACTGCCCATCATTGTCTCAAACTGGAAGTTCTTCATGTCAGATTAGTGCTCTCCTATAGGCCACACAGCCCTCCTGAGATCAGAGGTGCTCTCCAAAAACGAAAAATAAAAGGTAGTCTTCCTGACGGCTAGAGGAAGGTTAAGAGAAAAGCAAATTTATTGTCTGTTCCCCAGCATCCGTTTGGAAACAGTTCTGTTGCTGTGAGGGTTAATCTTTTGCTATCCGCAGAAATGTGCTGCAGATCAGGAGAAAATGAGGACAGCTGAAGGTTAAAAAAAATCAAACTCAGAGGCTAGGGGTCTTTGTCACCATTATCAAAGCTGAATAAACAAGTGTTTCCTGCGGCTGTCATGGAACTGTACATGTGGTGAGATCACTGTCTATTGCAAGGGACATAAAAATCCATCCTTTAACAGTTGTCATGCTTTTGCACTGATGCATTAGCATGTTTTCATTCATAATTTAGCATGTTTTCCAGACTGTGCATGAGCTTGTGTACAAAAACACATTTATAGAGCAAAATGAGATTAGTTTTTGAATTACCTGCACAACACCACTGAGCAATATTCCCTAATTTTATTTTGAAAATGTCTCATATATGGTATGTTGTTCTAAGAGCTTTTTAAAGAAATTCACTGACAGGACGTTTTGGGATGCAGTTGGTGCTAGCAAGTAAGCTGAAGAGATTTTCCTAACAGAAATTGTGTGGGAAAATTTCAGAGCACTTAAAGAGCGAGCGAATCCTCCTGCAGTTTACTCCAATTTTAGAACTGTTTCGCTTAGAGGAATGTAACAGCTTTTGTTTCTTCCATTGTTTACATTTCCTGTTCAGTTAGTAAGTCACCTACCTTGCAAAACTGCTATCTACCTCATTTCCTGAGGAAACCTTTTATATCTAAATCATGTTCAAATCATAAGCCCATAATGGATTTAGAATTGCTCCTTTTACAGCCTATTGATTTTTCTCTCTCTTCCCCAAATGGTTTTGTAGGATCCTTCTCTGAATCACAAAGCCTACAGAGATGCATTCAAGAAAATGAAATCTCCAAAAATTCCTTTCATGCCCTTACTTCTGAAAGGTAATGTTAATGCTTTTCTGCTCTTTGCCATGCCAGTGCCCATATAGAAATTTGCAATGATTAGTTATGATAAGTATAAAATGATTTTTTTCCTTCAAGTGGTCTTATGATTTGTGCCACGGATGTAATGATATGTGTAGGACAGCACTAGCTCTAGAAAATAATAAACAGCTGCCTTTTGAAACCAGGGATGATGGCATTTTTCATTCAGATTTTTAAACTTTAGCACTTTTCCTGATACCTAAAGATAGTGCAGTATGCCCTTGCTTTGATTACATGCTTTTCAGGCTAGAAGAGCCTGTGCCTGGCAGCTCACAAATCTCTGAGCAGAGCCATCTGGTTGTGCTTGGTACATACAAACAAACAGCACTAGAATTGCTGCGAGATACTGGGGTGCTCGCCCTGCCTTAAAGGAATAAAATTAACTGGTACTCTAATGAAAACAGAATCTGCCCCTGCTGTCTGTTCCGAGTGGAGAGAATTTTCATGACCTTCTCTTAGAAGTCTGAAAAATAATAGAACTGCTAGCTTAACATAGTGAATTAGGCAGATAATTAAGTGGCAGGTATTTCGAAGATCTCATTATCTTTGATTCATTAATTATTAATAATCTTGTCTTTGAACCAGACAAGTTCATATGATATTCCTTTCTTCCAAAAGTATTCTCTTCAGGCTGTTTAGTCTAACTTGTTACTGTTGCAAGTTTAAAATGAAGAGCTAGTTCTCCAAAGAAGTCAGTGGCAGTTCAGGAGCCATAAGGCACTTCCCCTCTTTACTCACATCAAAAGAGCTTGCTTTAAGAAGTCAGATGGGTGTAATGATCAAGGTTTCAAAATGACTGTTTTTAGGTGTCAATTGAGTATCTCATCTGCAAACAAAGAGGGGAAATATATATAGCTTGTTAACTATGTTGTTTGCCCAGCAGTGCAGTATTGTGTATAGGAACATGCACGTAAGCAACATTCATTCAGCATGACCTCAGGTCTCTGAAATGTATTGGAGAGACTGAGGAGGCTTGCAAAAAAAGAGTAAGCCTGTTCATTACAGAATGATCCATAAGGAGGCATTGCCAAGGCTGGTAATACCCATTGTACTGAACATCACCTTTACAGGGTGTTGACTCTATTCTGTACCTGATGTGTTTTAACTAATATTATTTAGAAGACCAGTAAAATAAACATTAATAACATAGAAATCATTAATAACTCAACATGACTGAATTTCAACACAAGAGGAACAAAAGTAGTTTCTGGAAAAAAAAAAACAGAAAATCTGTAAAAACCTTTTTTTTCTGATTGTCAGGCACAACTTTTGCAAATCAGAGAGACTTTTTCAAATATTTGATAAAACGCAGCTTTGTCCCCTTACAACGTAGCTCAGATGCAATTTTCTGCTCCACTGAACTTGTCTAAACTCTTGGCTGTTGGCCGCAGAGCAAATTTCTGTTCTTTTTCCCTCAGAGATATGCACGGCAGTCATGGACCTAACTGCCTGGAAATTTCTGTTTTTGGTAGAAGTTCTTCATTAGAAGTGACAGAGTTTTTTAAACTGCCTTAATATTTTCCCCTGGGTGTGTGTATGCATTTACCACATACACCCATCAGTGTGCATGCATGTGCATACAGCCATGAGGGACAAGTTCTGCCTGTCACTCAGCTCCTGAAGCCGTGTCCTTTCTGCAGCCTTGTGACATGCCCCGGAGCAGCCCAAGGCAAGAGATCAGGCCAGTCCCGCTCCCTGATTTGGCCTTGGGTCGCAGGAGGACCCCATGGCCAGGGAGGTGCTGCAGACATCCCCAAGGATCTCTGTGCATGTCCGACTTGCCAGGGGTGCCAGCAGGACTCACCCCTAATGCGGCCTATCGATTGCCAGCCCTGAGGTCCCACCAGCCTGTTAAGCCGTTAACATTTCCATTTGGAGCAATTACAAAATGCCCTTCAGGCACAGGGCGAATCTGTGAAACAAAAGGAAATAAATGGGCTTGGCTGGTTTTGCCCGCTCTGCAGGGAAAGGAGGGAATGGCAAGTGAGCCCCTGGCATCGGTTGCAGGCTCCTAGGCCAAAAATCCCCAGGAACAAGTGCTCTTCATAGCCTCACTGCAAGTGACAGGGATAAGTTTCTGGGATGTCCTAGTGATGACTCCAGCACAAATGCTGAGATAGGAGGTGGGTGGCTGTGTCTCAAGGTAGCACCTCAGCCAAGAGAGAGTCATTGCCCACTTTGCTGAGTGCCGTTTGCCGTTTGCAAATTCTCTCCAGTAGTGCTGGGCATTTGGGCTTCTTAGGGCTCCCCTGGCCCTAATGCTTATTCCAAGGCTAAGCTTTGAACTTCAGTGTATGGCTTTTGTTTTATCTACCTGCCTGGCCACTGTCATAATCTGCGTCTTGGATGTTGGGGAATGTTTGGAGAAGCTGTGTCCAGCAGACAGCTAGGATGAAGGGGCTTCAGAGACGACTTGAGCATCGGGTAATTCTATAAAAGAGTAGCTCTGGGCTGGTGAACCTAATGGGATCAGTCTCAGGAAGTGTCAGGTCCATGGCCAGCTCCCCATGGGGTAGAGAGACAAGATGCTGTGCAAAAGCCCATCTCGCTATTGATGTTTAATATGTATCCAAGCAACAAAGTCATAAAAATAATTGTTTTTCCTTTATTTTTTAGATGTTACATTCATCCATGAAGGAAATAAAACTTTTCTGGATAACCTTGTTAACTTTGAAAAGCTGGTATGTTCATTTTGTCTTTCAATTTTTTTTTGAGAAATCCATGTTCTCTTCTTCCCCTTCACTCCTTATCCTAGAAGACTAAATGGTTTTCTTTAGGCTGAATCAGGAAGAATTAAACTGAAGTAAACTCTGCTTCAAATAGCAGATAGGATAAACAGATAAGAGTTCAATTCTTCCCCGTCCCTTCCTCTGCTCCTCTTCCTGCTCATTCCTTCTTCCCCTACTTCTATGTAAAATGGTTACGTGAGGGGTAGC